AGGAAAAGAAAAAAAAAAGAATTGCCATGATGTTCTGGTGAGCTCAGGTGGGAAAGTACTATGTAAACAGTCATTGTGAACTGTGTTTGGGTCTCTCCCAGCTATATTTCTGTAGAAAGCCCAAACTCAGCTTTAAAACGCTATCAGTAAGTGCTGGATAAACGTCAGTGATACGGTGGATGTGTGCTACGAGCCCTAAACACTTCATCTCATTTAATGTCATCCCCACAATGACATACATACCAATGAGGTGCGTGTGATAATCCCATTCTCCCAGATGAGGAAACTGAGGCCCACAGAGGTTGGGCAGCTCAAGGTCACATGCATTAGTCATGGTAGGTCGGTTGAGAGGTCACACAAGGATAGATGGGTCTGCTCTGCTCTAGGCCTGTTCCAGATGGTTCCTGAAGGCACTAAAATCTCCCTGCTCATTGGTCTAGTGTCCTGGCTTATAACTTAAGTTGCAACCTTCTCTGAGAGTTTTCCGCCAGTTTCCAGAGACCCCTGGCCCCTCTCCCTCTGATTCCACCCACACAGGTCCCTAGTACTTTCCCACCTGCTGCTTTTTGCCCTCCTGATCCCATCCCCTGAGCCACTGTTGTTCCTTTCCCCCTTTTCTGCCACTCTTCCATCCTTTCTGCCCCTTGAACCATCCTGTCTTCACATCTCAGCTACAGGACCACTCGCCACAGTCGTATGTCTTCCTCTTCCTCTTCTGTAGGTTTCATTCAGCCCCCTGCTCTGTGCTTAGGCCTGAGTCTGTCCCCGTCCCAAGGGAATGCCTACCTGACGAGGGAGGAGGCTGTCAAAGCAGTGACCGCCCAGCCTGGTTAGGGCTGTGATGGAGACAGATGAGGCTGTGGGGCCAGGAAGGCCCCAACCTTCGTTGGGGAAGAGGTGGTGGGGGTTTGAAGAGGGAGGAGGAAGAGCTCCCCTGGCACATAGGGGAGAGAAGGATCCCCGGCAGAAGCGGCGCCCCCATGGTGGGGGATGGAGCTGGGGGAGAGTGGTGCCCTGAGGAATGGGGGAGCAGCCGCTGGGCATCTTGTCAGGAGACAGAGCAGAACCTTGACCCTGAGAGCAGTAGGGAGCCATTGAGGAGTCTTGAGCAGGGGGAGGTGTCTGCTCTGGCTTGCTCTTCAGAAAGGTCTGTGTGGTCCTAAGGGACAGAATGAAGTCCCACAGTGTGTGTATGGGGGAGGGGGAAGGCTGGGCAGTGGATGCGTTTGTGTGGGGGTGGGTTGCGAAGGCCGGACCTCGTGTTCCTGAAACATAGGGTTGTTGTTGGTGGCTTTGCTGTTTGGGAAGACCCCTCTGGTGCTTGTGGAAGCCAGAAGGAGGTGGAGACACTGGAGGCCCGTGGACAGGCTGTGGACACAGTCTAGTGAGCTAGCAGTGCCTGGCCGGGGCCTGAGCTGTCTGGCCAGAGGGCGAGCCTGAGAGTTTAGGGAGGGCGGGTCACTGGGACTTCGTGCTTAGGGGAGAGAGGATATTGAGGTGGGAATTTTTGTGTGGGGTTGTTGTCAAATCGTCTAGAAGGATCCCTGGCCCAGGAGGGCTCATCCTGGCTCCTCAGCTGTGTGACCCTGGACCAGCCTGTCCCTCCATGTGCGTCAGTGTCCTCAGCTGTGAAGGGATTGGGTGAAGCGGCCTCTCCTGCTCTGACGCAGCGGGTCTGTCACATGGCGGTGGCCCTGGAGGAGGGACACAGAGCCTGTGGCCTAGCCAGCTGAGACCTAGTCTGCGATGACCAAATCTGGCCAGGTCTGCTGTGGTCTGAGGCCAGCCGCCCGCACATTTGCCATCTGGGAAGGCACATCTCTGACCCCCAGGTGCCCTCTCCACCTTCACAGCGGGCTCTGCCCTCCCTGCCAGCTGTCTTGGCTGCTCTAGTCCCAGACTCCATCCAGGGCCTCTGCTCTCCCGTGACTGGCCCTGGGAGGAGTGGCCTGGCGCTGGGGCCCCATTGGCCAAAGCGTGTCTGGGCTGCACACGCCCCTGCCTCCCTGGCTGGCTGCCTGCCCATCTTGGGATAGGAGAAGGGCCAGCCTGGCCAGCCCTGGTGGGGGCAGACCGCCCCGGGGCCAGGGAACGAGTCGGAGTCTGAGAGGCTGTGCCTGGGGCCACCAGGGCTGCTCTGCCCCTTCCATTCGCCCTCCAGCCCAGGGGCTCTGGGCTCTTCTCTTTGATGAGTGTGGGGGCCCCCCACCGCGGGGTCTTGTCCCTCAGTTTGCCTGGGAGCTCAGCCCTGCTCAGAAGATCGTGCGATTTCCTGTCTCACAGGGTGACAAGACTTGTCAGCTTTCTCAAAGGACATGTCAGCTGGACATGCTAGAACCCTGCAGGGTTAGAGTCCAGAATCCTGAAAGCAGGACAGGACCCACCTTAGGGACTGGCAGTCTTCCCCTGCCCTGCCTGCCCAGCGAGTGATGGGTGAGGTTCAGGAAGGGAGGGGACTTATTTGGAATCACATGGGACCAGAAGGTCAGGGCTAGGATTTGAACTCAAGTCTGTCCCTGGTGGTCCCTCTAGAAACCTTTGATGAGGCCCTACTGTGTGCCAGGACCTTCTAAGCATAAGCACAAAGGGAATGGACCAATTTATCTTTGTTCTTGCAGTGTTAGATCCAGGGTACAGGGGAAGTACTTGGTGAAGGAAGGAAGGAAGGAAGGAAGGAAGGAAGGAAGGAAGGAAGGAAGGAATGGACAAGGCCAAGATCCTGCCTCCGGACATGTAGAGTCCAAAGGAGGGAAGGGCCTCTTTTTCATACAGTAGGAAATAGGAGGCTGGTGGGAGTGGAAACTTACCAGGTGAGAAGCAGAGGGAGGATGGGAACTCAGGTGTCTCCACCGGGGTCTAGGGCTTTTTCTATCCTCACTTTCCTTGTTTGTAAAATGGGGTCAGCAGCCCTCACCCTCTGCCTTCCTTGTGAGGACCCAGTGAGGCAGCAGATGTGAAAATAGGTCTGTAAAGCAGAGGCGTAGCACATAGGGCTTCCCTGTGTGGATGCGGAGAACTGCCCAGAAACCCCATATGGCTGGCTGCCTTTCTTCTGACCACTTACCCTTTGCATCTTGCTTCCCCCATTTCCCTATCTTGCTCTATGGCTTCTTTCTGGAATGTTCTGCCCAGAACCCCTGGCTGTGGGATGGGTTTGGGAAGTGTGGGTGAATGGAATCTGCCTGCCTCCTCCCTCTACGTCTCCCACACCCAGAAAGGCAGCCACATTATGCAGGAAGCACAGCAGGCCGGAAGTGCCTTGGCAGCGGTTGCCATGGCGACGGGTCCTGCTGCTTGGACCACAGTGGCCTGTCAGACGCCTGCAGGCCTGCAAGCCTGGCAGCCTGGCACCCTGTAGGCCTCTTCCCAGGCTGCTGAGGCTGGGGCTGCCCTCCTCTCTCCTTGGTGTCTGGCACTGCCCCTTACTCCCAGGGGCTCTCGGGAACGAGTTGCCTCTCTGGGACCCATAAGCTGTTCTGGGTCAGACAGGCCTGGTTTGAATCCCAGTTTTGCCACTTGGGGGTCAGTGACCTTGAACAAGTCACCTTGGTGTGCCTTGTATTTATCGAATTAGCGATGGGAGCCTCACGGGGGAAGTTGCTCAAGGAGCATGGACAGCGGCATGAGAGCTGTCCTTGACCCCACGTGCAGCTGTGGTAGGGTCAGGGTCGAGTTGTGGCACTGTTTGCTGCTGACAGGCCCAGGGCCCTGGACTCATCTCAGCCCCAGGAGCAGGCCGTGTGGGGTGGTGGATAGGACCTCAGGCTTTGCAGCCAGACCTTGTGCCCCAGCTGCCCTTTGCCACGTACAGGAGCCTCAGTTTCCTCACCTTTAAAGCGAGGGCACCAAGGAACCGACCTCAGGTTGGTTTTTTGCATGAATAAAGTGGAATTCAGACACGCAAAGTGCTCAGAAGAGTATTCAACACTTAGTGAGCACTTGATCAAGGTCAGCAGTGGCAGTTATCATCGCCGCAAGCAGCATCAGCCATGACAATTAGAACTCGTGGCCTTTTTCTCACACATGCAGGTGCACCCAGCTCTCACACATGGCCTGTTGGGGAGAGCGGGCCAGAGAGATGGGAGGCCCGCTCCTTCCCCGGCCCACCCCACCCAGGGCACTGCCGGGGACCCCCCGCCCCTTCCACCTGGGGACTGAGGCAAGCTGGGCCCTGGGCACAAACTGCACCTCCAGTTCAGGAGTCTGAGGATTTTCTCTGCTGCTTCTCTAGCCAGCAGCTGCTGCAGCCTTGACCTGGGTCAGACAGCCTCTCAGGGTCGGCCCTGAGCCCTCCCAGGCAGCAAAGCCAAGTGCTCAGGACAGAGGAACGCCCAATGTGGGGGGGGGAGCACTGCCTCTGATGTCATCTGCAGAATGAAGGAAGGGCCCTTTGGGAGTGAAACAGGGCTGCTTCTTGGGATACTTGATTGAGAACAGATCCCTGGGCTTGACTGCTAGAGGGCTCCCCAGGCCTACCTGCAGAGGCAGGGGAATCTTTCAAGAATGAAGGTCAGGGGCGCCTGGGTGGCTTAGTCGGTTAAGCGTCCGACTTTCGCTTAGGTCATGATCTCACGGTTCGTGGGTTCGAGCCCTGTGTCGGGCTCTGTGCTGACTGCCAGCTCGGAGCCTGGAGCCTGTTTCAGTCTGTGACTCCCTCTCTCTCTGACCCTCCCCTGCTCACGCTGTCTCTCTCTCTCCTAGAAATAAATAAAAACATTAAAAAACAAAAAGAATGAAGGTCAACCTAAGGCAGGACTTTAACAAGCTGGCCCACGAGCTGGAGGGAGAAGGAGCGCATTCCCCTCCCCCTCCCTCAGGTCCCAGGTCCCGTGTACACGGGCTTGTTGGCCAAAAGGAAGCTGGGTGGGAGCGGAGTCCCGCCAGCCTCCTGGGGTCTGAGAGTGGTGGCTGCTCTTGGAGTTGGGCCCCGGTGGGAGGTGTCCCTGTGGCAGCCGGGAGACCCTGTGGTGAGCTGACCTCCCGTCCCCACCTTCTCCCAGGGCTTGGCCTCCGTATTCTCAAGCCGAACGTCCCGGAAGTCAGCCCAGCGCGCCAAGGGCGACGGTGCCATGGCGGACAACGGGGGCTACCGGAACCCTACCGAGGTGCAGATGAGCCAGCTGGTGCTGCCCTGTCACACCAACCAGCGCGGGGAGCTGAGCGTTGGGCAGCTGCTCAAGTGGATCGACACCACGGCCTGCCTGTCGGGTGAGCTTGGCACAGCTATCCTCCCACCGGTGGCCCCACCACCCAAAGGAGAGGCCTCCATTATCAGAGATGGGCACTGTCCCTCCCGAGTGCCACGCTGGTTCCTCGCCCTGCCCTTTGCTCATAATGTTCCAGCTGCCTGAGATGCCGCCTCCAATTTCTCCACGCTCCTCTTGGGCCACCCTCGCTCCCCCAAGCCCCCACAGCTCTGAGCTCGGTATCCTTCTGTCCCTGCTGCGACACAGCGCATCTTCAAATGTGGCCGCTGCGACGCTGGCCTGAGAGTGCAGCTCTGAGTGTTCTCCAACCCACAGGGAGCTCACAGTCCAGCCGGGGCACAGATAGGTGATTTACCTGCCCCCCAGCCCTGGGAGAGAGTCAGCATTGGATCTGTGGGAGAACAGACCAGAAGCCCTGACCCAGTCCTGGGGACGGGGGAGGGAGGGATTGCAGAGGGACCAAGGTGGTGAGCGCAGTCCTGATGGTAAGAGCGACTAAGGCAAGGAAACAAAGGTGGGTGAAGCAGACTGCGCAGACGGACTGTCGGCTCCTGAGCGGGCTGAGAAGTAGAATAGCCCAGTGTGATCCTACGTTCATTCAACAGCTACTCACGGAGTGTCTACTGTGCTGGCCTCGCTCCCAGACTGGGGCACCACGGTGAACGAGACAGGCAAAAGTCCTTGCCCTCAAGAAACTTGCAGCCTAGCGGAAGGGAGAGACCCCAGACAGACAGAACCTTGATAGATGAGCAGGGTCAGGGCGTAGTAACCGGGTGATCAAAGTAGAGAAGGGTGGGTGTGGCCAAGGAGGCACAAGCTCAGCTGGGGCCACCTGGCATTTGCTCAGAGGCCTGGGGACACGGGGATGATGCTAACCCAAGGCTTTCTTCCGATGCCAGCCGAGAGGCACGCTGGCTGCCCCTGCGTCACCGCCTCCATGGACGATATCTATTTTGAGCGGACCATCAGGTAAGTGCCCTTGCTGCTCCTTGGTCCCCCTGGCCTGCGCACCACCAACCCACGGCTCCGCCTCCCTCTCCCCGCCTGGTCAGCCTGCGAGCCACGTGGAACCCTGGAGTGTGACTTGATTGACTGAGGGCCTTTGCAGAGCAGACAGTAGCCCGTGCACTGGGGCTCTGGGAGAGGGATGGGCTGGGAGCTGGCCCGCTGCTGGGTGCTACGGGGTGGGTGCCTGCGGCCAGCTCTGGAGTTGGACGTTGCTGAGGCAGCATCACGGGGTGCTGTGTGGCTTTGGGGAAGTCAGTTTCTCTGGGCCTCAGTTTTCTTATCTGCAAAATGGAAGGGGATAGTCTTAAACAGTGCATATCTTTTTGAACTTGGACATTCTCTGTGGGTCATTGGTCACTGGACTGTAGGAAGTTTCCTAGGCAAGTTCCCTTGGAAAAGCCTGAGCCAGAAGCTTGGACCATTCAGCCTCTGCTTGCATGTCTCCAAGAATGAGGAGCTCACTACCTTACAGTTTGTTTTGTTTTGTAATTGCCTTTTAAAATGTTTATACCGAGGCACCTGGGTGGCTCAGTCGGTTAAGTGTCCAACTTCAGCTCAGGTAATGATCTTGTGGTTCATGGGTTCAAGCCACATGTCAGGCTCTGTGCTGACAGCTCAGAGCTGAGAGCCTGCTTCAGATTCTGTGTGTTACTCTCTCTGCCCCTCCCCTGTTCACACCTGCCTCTCTCTCTCAAAAATAAATAAACAGTAAAAAAAAATTAAAAAATAAAGTGTTTATACTGATGCCAAGCCCTTGGCCCAGCCCTGTAGGGGCTGCATACGGTGCTCTGGCCTCCACTCCTGCTCCTAAATCACCATCAGGGCCTAGGACATCAGACAGATGTCAAGGGTTGAATCAGGGCTTTCTAGGTACCCAGCATGTTGCAGTTAAGGAAAAAATTTGGCCCATTGCTGTCTTCATTTATTTGGTTCTTTGTCACTACCTGCCACTATTCCAGAGCAAGGCCCATGCTGGGTTTGGGGTGTGCAAGGTCAACTGGAGCATGGTCCCTAGGCCCCCAGGAGCCCCCATTTGTAGGGAGACAGGTTTAGAAACGTAATTTCAATTCAAGGGGTGTGTACCATGTGAATCGTGATCTCTGACGTAGGGGTGATTTGTAATTCTAATTCTAAATATCTTGTATTTCAGAGTAGTTTTTTAGAAAGTGTTTATTTATTTATTTTGAGAAAGAGTGCGAGCCAGTGCACAAGCAGGGGAGGGGCAGAGAGGGAGGGAGGGCGAGAACCCCAGGCAGGCTCCATGCCACCAGCACAGACCCTGACATGGGGCTTGATCCCACGAACCATGAGATCATGACCTGGGCTGAAATCAAGAGTTGGACGCTAAACCAACTGAGCCACCCAGGCGCCCCTAGAGTAGTTTTGGATTTACAAAAGAAGTTGTATCTCAGCAAATCATACCGAGAGGTCCTATATACCCCATAGCCACTTCCCCTGTTATTAACATTTTAATTAGTATTGTTCCTTTGTCCCCGTGAATGAACTGATATTGATGCGTAGCCTGTAGCGCTTTTTTAATATATTAACCTATTTAATCCTCAGAACAATGCTGTGAGGTTCTGGCTATTAGTATCCTCCTTTTACAGATGAGGAAACTGAGGCACAGAGAGGTGAAATGATTTGCTTCAGGTCGTATGGCTAGTGGAGGACCCAGGAACCCCAGAGCTCTTATTCTTAACCAATGGGCAGCATTTTCTACATGTCTGGGGGTGAGTGTCATAGCATAGGGGGTAGTCAAACGGGGGTTCCTGGAGGAGATGTTGGAACTGGCTTCAGTGCCATTAATACTGTATATGGTGACACTCTGAAGGCCAGGGGAGCTCTGTCCAGGCCAGTTCTAGGTCTCCGCTGCCCACACAGGTTCTGGCGCTCAGAGGGGCTACGGAGGTGTGGGCTGGGGGTGGGCAGTGGGTGTGTGTGGTGGATGGACTTGCCCCAGGACTCAGAGAGTGAAGGTGAGTCTGGGCCAAGGAGGGTGTGGCTGGAAGGGCACCCGGAGAGGATCCTGGGAAGGAGGGCAAGCTGGAGATGGGTCGGGAACATGGCTGGTGGCCAGGAAAGGCCTGGCTGCACCTGAGGAAAATTGGAGAAGGTTTTTCTGGTTTGTTTTTGTCTTTGCCATTCAAAAATATTTCAAAATGTGTCTCTAAGTGGTAAGACCTACTTTTATTTTTTCCATTTTTAAAATTGATTATTATATATTTTAAAGGTTTATTGATTTTGAGAGAGAGAAAGAGAGCACGAGTTTGTGAGATCATGACCTGAGCTGAACTCAAGAGTCGGAGGCGGCTCATGACTGAGCTACCTAGGCGGCCCTGCTTTTATTTTTGTTTTGCTTTACAGTTATCTTTGTTGTTCCAGTCTAGATACAAATAAGGTTGCAACTGATTGCTGTGTCTCTCAAGTCTTTTTTCTGTCTATAGGTGCTGTACCTTCCCCCAGCACCCTGGCCCTTCACTGTCTCTCTCCTGGTCATTTGCAATCTTAGTTCTCAATCGTCCGGGGCTTGTTGTTAGCATCAGTGTGGTGTCATTTAACATGCTCCTCTGTTCCCTGACAGTAAATTGGTCCTGGGGAAGGGCTTGAACGGGGGTCAAATTTGTTTGTGGGAGCTGCCTCTGTGATGTGAAGAACACCAGAGGGGGTGCTGGGGAGCTGGAGGCTTCAGGGGGGGCCCTGAGGAAGTTGGGCAGGGACCCTGGGGAAGGAGCCAGTTTTGGCTTGAGCTGTGGGATGGAAGAGAGTCTAGGAGGGAAGAAAGGCTCAGGAGTCCAAGTGGGTGTCTGCTTGGCTTTGGGGGAGGTAGAGGAGGGGGGAGCAGGAGGAGGAGGGGTAAGATGGGGGTGAGGAGGAGGGGGAGGAGAAAAAGAAGAGGAGGAGGAGGGGGGAAGGAGTAGGAGGGGAAAGAGGAGGAGAGAGATGAATAAGAGACACAAATATCTCTTTTTTTTAGCACCACAGAAAATAGACTGTTATTTTTATTTTAGGGATCGTGGAATTCTTTCTTCTTATAATGAAAACTTTCAAAATTATAGAAAAGTTGCATAGCTCAATGATCACTACCAGTGAGATTCAAGAATTAATATTTTTTGCTACGTGTGCTTTATCTATATATGGATAAACACATATACTTCTCTCTGTCTTTTTTCTGAACTACTTGGAAGTAAGTTGTAGACATCATGACACCTTGTCCCTCCACATGTCATCACGCATCTCTTGAAAGCAACAGTCCCTCCACGCCTATCAGGACTGTTAATGACAGGGACAGAAATGGACAGGTCCTTGGCAGTCATGAGCTCCTGTTAGTTACGGAGCTCTGCCCCGGGCCAGGCCTGGCGCTGGCTCTCTCTGACTACCTCGAGCCTTCCCTCAGTAGTCATGCATCCTCTGTACTTTACTGACGTGGGGTAGGCTCAGAGAGGCCAAGTGACTCATCCAAGGTCACCTAACTCAGTAGGGTGACAGGGGAGAGCTTGACTGGAGCCCAGGCAGCCCCCCTGGAAGGGACCCTTCCTAGCCCTGGGGGAGAGGCTGCGTCTTTGAAAGAAATTAGCCCTCTGCCATCCATGTTTGTGGCCCAGGCACTGAGAGGTAAAAGGACTTGCTCAAGGTCACCCCAGCCCCTGTCTGCCTCCTCCTCACAGTCCACCAGCTGAGCACACTCAGCTGCCTCCAGTTAGACACACAGCAGGGGAGGGGGCTCCTCGAGGGATTCTAACCATTCATCTGGACGTGGGCATTATTCCAGAACAGGGAGCAGCTGGAAAAGGTGGGGCCATTGTAGTCAACAGAACAGTCTAGAACCCTGACTCTGTCACCTTTGAGCTGGGTGACCTTGGGCAAATGGCTTACTCTCACGGGTGTTCAGTCCCTCCTCATGTAAGCGTGTCAAGCTTATTTTGGGACTGTACTGTGGTAATGCTTGGAACATAGTAGGCATTCTTTGAATGTTTCCATTTTCCATTCCACCCCGCTATGGATAGTCCCGTGCACTTATTAGGCACATGTAGAATGGATTCATTCAGGAGGACCTACCCCGTGAGGTGTACTAGGCCCTGAAGTCAGTGGTGAGTGAAGTGGGTGTGATCCTTGCCCCAGCGGAGCTTAAGGATTGTGGGGGAGACCACAGAGAACCATCTGTTGGAAGAAGTGCTGGGAGGGTGAACCATATTGGGCTATGGGGGGAGGGGTAGGTTCCCCGAAGAGGGGACTGTGGAGCCACAAGCACAAAGAAGCTTGAGCATTCACTGGACAAGGGGGAGAGGAGTGAAACTGTGCTGCCTTGCTCAGCCTCCACTTCCCCACCTGGACAATGAGGTGCGAACACTACCTTGCCAGCTCGCTCTGAGGACTCGGTGACACTGCCGATGTGACTCTGTAAGCCACAACGTTTCCCTGCCAGCTCCCTTCCACGGAGGCCCTGCGAGTATCTGGGGCCCCTCTTCCCCCTCTCTATCCCCTCTGGAAGGCTCACCTCCTGCTTTTCTCTCCCCAGTGTCGGACAAGTGGTGAATATCAAGGCCAAGGTGAACCGAGCCTTCAACTCTAGCATGGAGGTGTGTGGGGTGGGGGCTCCCTGGGGGTGGGTTTTCTACCTCCTCTCCATTCTCAGCGCCCAGCCTGGGGACACTCACACCCGCAGAGCCCTGGTCGAGGCAACGGGGGTTTGAAACAGCTGTCAGGGTGTCCAGTGAATGCCTAAGGATCTTCCTGTCCAATACCCCATAACACTGAAGGGAAAACTGAGGCCCAGGGAGGGGAAGAGACTTGTCCCAGGTCACCAGGTCATATAGATTCCAATGTGAGACTGACTTCCAGTCTCCTTGGTCTTCACACTTCACCTAAGGTCCCTTCAGCAGCCAGGTGGCCATAGGAAAGCAGGGAAGACAGCAGCTGTGCCTGACCCTGGAGGCAGCAGAGCTGGGGCAGGGAGAGCCCTGAACTTCAGTCCATTAGCTCACCTCCCATAGTCTCTGTCTCCCATCTGTGAAATGGAAGCATGAGTCCTATGCTTCAGGGTTCTTAAGTGAGGTACAGGGCTCTGTGAGCTCTGGGGGAGTGACTGTGTTTCTTACCTGTGGATGCCAGGCCCAGGCAACATCCCCCAGCTGGGCCGCTGAAGCTGAGTCCCCACTGCCTCTGGTCCCCCCTGGGTACCCGCCAGATGTCTGTCTTTTCATTGAAGCCAACATTGATCTACTTTAAGTTCTTTGCTGGACTCAGTCTCATTTTCATTCTCTCTGTAGCCCTGTGAGGGTAGGTATGCTCATTCCCATTGCATCCATCCATTCATTCATTCATACATCCATTCATTCATATTTTAAGTAGGCTCCACGCCCAATGTGGGGCTTGAACTCACAACCCTGAGATGATGAGTTGAGTGCTCAACCGACTGAGCCAGCCAGGCGTCCCCATGCTCAGTCCCATTTTATAGATGAGGAAGCCAAGGACCAGAAAAGGGAAGTAACTTGCTCAAGGCTTTCCAGGGATCTAGGGGTAGAATCAGAACCTATCCCAGGTCTCTGTCCTCCTAGTCTCAGTAAGTGATAGAATATGAGGCCTGGCCTGAGGTGGGACTTCCTGTCTTGTTGAGCTGTGGAACCTCAGGCTGGGAGCTCCATTTCTCCCCTCCTTACTCCTCCCACCCCTTGTTCCTCCCCAGGTGGGCATCCAGGTGGCTTCTGAGGACCTGTGCTCTGAGAAGCAGTGGACCGTGTGCAAGGCCTTGGCCACCTTTGTGGCCCATCGGGAAGTCTCCAAGGTGGGGGCTATCTCTGGCTGCTTGATGCTGCTGGACCACCCGGGTGCTTGTCAAGGCAGGCCGGGAGCAGGGTGGTGAGGCTGGGGGCTGGCCAAGGCGTGAAGGCGCTTCAGGGAATCCACAGCCCCCAGAGTTAGCTCCCCCTATCTGTGTTTTGACCCTAGGTGCCTTCCCTCTCTCTTCCCCACCTACCCCTGTGCGTCTCACGTGGGGATTCTTCAGGCCTTATCATCCCCTTACATGCCCCATAGATGCCCCCAATCCTGGATGCCTTTGCCCGAGAAATGGGACTGGGGGCGTTTGGAGGATGGAAGTGATAGATCGGTCAACCTGGAAACAGGAAGATGGGGACAAAGAGGGCACAAAGACTCATAGCTATCCTGCAGCCGCAGGTGTGTGATGATGCTGAGGGCACAGGCACCCCTGCTGTTTCGGAAGCCTGCCCCCAGCATCCCCCGCACCACCCCCTGCCCACAGGTGAAGCTGAAGCAGACCACCCCACAGACAGAGGAGGAGAAGACTGAGCACAGCGTGGCGGCTGAGCGGCGGCGCATGCGGCTGGTCTATGCGGACACCATCAAGGACCTCCTGGCCAACTGCGTCATTCAGGATGGTGAGCGGCCGCGGGTGGGGAGGGCAGCGGCATCCTACATGCCCCCCTCTGTCCCAGGCCCCCACAGGGCAGAGGGAGGAAGGGACGTCCGCTCACTGTCCCGATGGAACTCTTGTTTCAAGGTCTCCTTCAGGGAAGGGCCTCTTGCTTGGCTCCCAGGAGCTGTGAAGATGGAATTAGGGCACGAAGAACACCCTTTGTTATCCACAGAATGTATTTGGGAAGGTACTATTGAGCACGGCCCTGAAGACTGCAGGGTTTTTTTTAGAAAGCACATATATATATATGAACACATATATATGCACATAGACATATATGCATATATACATAAATCACATAAGTATAAATATAGAATGAAAAGCAAGACCCTCTCCCACTCAGGACCCAGGTCCCCTCCAGTTAGTCCTTTTGGGACATCTTTCCAGAAGATTCCCTGCATATTTAAGCATGCCGTGTATTATTTAGCTCTCCCTTTTTCTCCCAAAAGGGAACGTACAGTACATACTGTTCTATATCTTACTGCTTTCCCCTTGAAAGTATGTGTTGGAGAGATTGTTCTATACCAGCACACAGAGATCCCCTGTGGACTGGGGGAGATTTTGACAGATGGAGAGAGGAGAGGGAAGGTTTTCCTGACGGAGCGCACAGGCTGGGCAAAGGCCCAGAGGGGTAGCCTTGGATGCTCTCGCCAGTCTCAGAGCCTTAGGACAGGGAGTCTTCCCTGAAACCTACAGGAGGCCATTATAGGACAATTGAAAGTAGTCCAGCCGCCCAGGGTGGGCGAGAGCAGGTGAACCAGCAGTGAGAGGGGCTCTGAGTGCTGTGTGCCTTATGTCTGCGAGGTCTGGGGGCTATGGCTGGGGTAGGGGAGGGAGCCTCAGCTCCTCCTACTGTCACTGAGATCTCCCGGGGCCACCCGTGCACGGCAGACCTCCTAAATCCCTCTTGTCCTGACAGCCCTTCCACCCAGTGGTCAGTCCAAATGCCTTAGCCTGGCATCCGGGCCCTTGGCTGGCCGCTCGGCCTCACCTGGTGCTGTCCTCCTACTTGTCCTCAGCTCCAGCCATGCCACGGCCTTATTGCTTCCTGCGACTCTCCTACCTGCCCTGTCTCCAGATCTTGGCTCAGGCCACCCTCAAGCTCCCCTTCTCCCTATCTGTGGCATCTCAGAGCAGCCTGCAAGCCAGGCAAAAGGCCACCTTTTGATGGGCCCTGCCTGACAAGTCTCTCCCTGGTCGGTGGGAGATGCATTGCCTTCCTTGGGTTGCGGGGGTCGTATCAGCATCTGCTCCTCTGACCCCCAAGGCCCTGCCCACTCTCTGGCCTCTCCTACTGAGGATCTCCTGATGCCACTGCCCCTGAGGGACAGATCCTTTTGAGAGTCTGCCTCCTGAGTTTGGTGCCAAGCCCTCTAGAATTGTGATCATACGTCATCTGCATAATCCCCATGGGTTGGGTTTGACGTCTGCCCTTCACAGATGAGGACATAGGTTCCGAGAGGCTCACTCGACTGGCCCAAGTCATTGAACCTGAGGTTCAGCCCCAGGCGTGTCTTCTCTCAAAGTGGAAGTCCTGCCCACTGCCCCCGAGACCACCTGATCTCCCTCCCCCCGTGTCCTCCTGTTCCTCACCTAGGGCCGGCACACTTGGTGCCGAGTCAGTAAAGGAATCTGGATGACATAGAGTGTGGGCTGGTGGCGGGGCCCCTGGGTCTGCCAATGGGAACTTCTCCCCTTCCGACCTCCCCGCCTCTGCCCTTCCCGGGCCAGATCTGGAGAGCAGAGACTGCAGCTGCATGGTGCCGGCCGAGAGGACCCGCGTGGAGAGCGTGGAGCTGGTCCTGCCCCCCCATGCCAACCACCAAGGCAACACCTTTGGGGGCCAGATCATGGCCTGGATGGAGAACGTGGCCACCATCGCAGCCAGGTGAGGGGAGAGTGCGCTGCCCCTGCTTTCCCTCCTTTCTCTCCCTCCTCCCTTGGCCAGCTTTATCCCCAGATTGGGGGGGTGGGGGGTGATGGGAACCCCCAGCTTGGTGTTGGCATTCAAGGCTTTAGGAGCTAGTCAGGGCAGGCTTCCTGGGGGAGAGCTCTTCAGCTGGGCCTTGAGTGACATGTAGCTTTGGGTAAGGGGAGGGCTTCTAGGTAGTAGAAGCAGCAGGTGCTGGGTGTAGAGGATGAGGGAAAATGGGGAACAGATTTGCCCCAAGCCCTGTTCTTGAGGCTCAGCTGCTTGAGTGTTCATAGGCCCCAGTGTTCTAAGCTGTGAAAGGGGACTTCCATTCTGTTCCTCTGGGCAGAAGTGTCCCAGTCGGGTGGTAGTGGGTGGGCCAGAGGGCAGTGCATGTGGTTCTGGGCTGGGTCTGTGGATGGGGGAAGGGGGGGAGGCCGGCCCAGGCCTGTGGCTGAAGGCATTTGTCCTGTCTCCCCAACCCCAGCCGGCTTTGCCGTGCCCACCCTACGCTGAAGGCCATTGAGATGTTCCACTTCCGAGGCCCCTCCCAGGTTGGGGATCGCCTGGTGCTCAAGGCCATCGTGAACAACGCCTTCAAGCACAGGTAAGGGGAGGGACTGGGCCCCCCTGGGGCTGAGGGCTCTTCCTGACCCAAGAAGAGGCCCAACTGCAAAGCTGCCAGGGACCCTTTCCCTTGTAGACGAGGCCTATGAGGTCTAAACCCTGCCCGGCTGCTGGGCCCTTCCATGCTCAGACCACAGGGCCAGTGTTCTGTCACTTATCAAATCCATTCCCGCCTTTTCCCTAAAACAATTAGTTCCCAGAGCCTGAATTTGGAATGAATCCTGATACCTCCAAGAAAGCTTACTTTAAATATCTATCTTTGTTGGTGATTTCAAAGATCATCGTGTGAGGAAGCCAGGCTCCCTGGGCTCAAGTTGGGCTTACTCCGTACTGGCTGTGTGACTTGAGGCAAGTTACTCACCACCACTGAGCTCCAGTTCTTTTGTCTGTAAAATGGAGCTCACCACAACTACGCCATATTTGTGAGGATTCCCTGAGGGGTTGCTGGACAAGATGCTGGGTGTGGACAGGTGTGTGTGCATGCGTGCATGCATGTGTTGGGGAGGGCACGTGGGCTCAGGAAGGTCCAGCCTGAAAGCAGTCCTCTGTCTCTCTCAGCATGGAGGTGGGCGTGTGCGTGGAGGCTTACCGCCAGGGCGCTGAGACCCAACGGCGGCACATCAACAGCGCCTTCATGACCTTCGTGGTCCTAGATGCGGATGACCAGCCTCGGACTCTGCCCTGGATTCGGCCCCAGCCTGGGGTGAGTGGCACCCTGCCCCACCACCAGGTCCCTTCCCTCTCTGCCCAGGGGTGGGGGTGGGGTGCTAGCCCGGGAGCGATGGGCTCAGCCCTGCCCCTCTGCAGGGGCACAGCCAGCTCTGGGTGACCTGTGGCCCCAGAGGTGCCCCTTGTGCAAGGCAGGCACCTTGGTCTGCCTGAAGGAGCTCATAGGTATTAACAGGCGTTCCTGAGCCCACAGGTTTGGAAAAGCACAGGCTCTGGGGGCAGACGTGGGTTGGAACTCCCCTCTTCCGTGTTCTACTGGGTGCCCTCTGCAAGTTTCTAGTCCTTGCCAGTAAAGCGGGTGTATCTGCACCCCTGTCTCACAGGGAGGTTGGGGGTGTCCCTGTGCTCGGCTAAGACCTGTTGGTGACCGTTATGAGGAGGTGACAGGAGAGCAAGAAGCACAGGGATAAGAGTCAGGGGTTTGGGTTCAAAGGTCATCTCTTAAAAACTGCAATCTTGTGCCTCCGGTGGGCCAGTCCCAGGCTTGCTTCTGGGGGGCTGGAGGGACCTTGGAGGGGCACTCCCTCTCTCTGGGAAGCCCCTCCACCCTGCCTGCCTGCCTCACAGGGCCCCGAATTGGCTGTGAAAACCCTCACGCCCCAGCTGGGTGCTGGGCACTTGACAATGGGTGGGGTGGGGCAGGAGCCGGAGCATGAATGGTGTGTTCGGCTCACAAGTGCCTCCAGGCCTGTGCCATTTCATGCTCACGAGTGAGGAGACAGCAGAAGCAGTGGTTAAGAGGGTGGACTCCGTGTCAGGCCATCAGGGTTCTGCTCCTGGCCCCACTTCTTACCCTGGCCACCTTGGGCAGGCCACCAGCCTTTCTGTGCCTCAGTTTCCTCCTCTGTAAAATGGGGATAATATGAGTACCAACTTCAGAGAGCTGTTGTGAGCCTTATTTGAAATTTTGCATGGAAGGTGCTTTGGAAGAGGCCTGGCAAGAGCAGGTGCTCAGTAAACGTGGCTTCTTACTAGCACTGTCAGTGCCCTTTGGGGTCCCCTCGTGTAAAGGAGGAAATCGGGGTCCATCGAGGGCAGGTGGTGTTTCCATAGTCAGTGAGGGAGGCTGAGACTCTCTGAGCTCAGATCGAGCAGGAATGCAGGGACTTGGCCCTTTGCTGTCCAGGTTGCTTTGATTCTGGCTTCCCTGGTGAGGTCTGAACTCCATTGTAGGGCTGAAGGGCCTCCTTGGGCCTGTGGGGGGGCAGAGAGTAACGGGGGTGGGGAGCAGGGTGCTAGCTGGGTGTCTGGCGCGCATCAGAGTCCGTCCTGCATCTCTCACCAGGACGGCGAGCGGCGGTACCGAGAGGCCAGTGCCAGGAAGAAGATCCGGCTGGACAGGCAAGTGTAGCTTGGGTGGGAGGAGGGGATGCAGGTTCGGGGCCCTCAGCCTGTTCCCCAGGCCCAAGGGACCCGCATTCCTTCAGTGCCGCCCCTGTGCTGGGCACCAGGTGGGGCCCTTTACATCCACGCAGCCTCACTACACACAGCGGTCTTCCCCATCCGTTGTACAGACAAGGACATGAGGACAGAGGGGTCAGGTGACCATGGGCACACAGACAGGGATGATGGGCAGAGCGGGAATTTGAACGGTCGGGTCTGGCCAATTCTAAATCCCATGTTAGTTCCACTGCTTCTGATGCCTGTTGGGCAGATGAAGAAAGGAAGGTCCTGGGGCACCGGAGCGGCTCAGGCAGTTACAGCGTCTGGCTCTTGATTTCGGCTCAGGTCAGGATCTCACAGTTCAGGAATTTAAGCCCCGCATTGTGCTCAGCGCTGCCAGTGTGGAGCCTGCTTGGGATTCTCTGTCTCTCTCCTTCTCTCTCTGCCCATCCCCCAATTGCTCTGTCTCTGTCTCTCAAAATAAATAAATAAACATCAAAAAAATTTTTTTTACAAAAAGAAAGGTCCTGAGGGGACATGCAGATGCTCACGATGCACAGCCAGGTGTGAATGACTCTGCCGTCAGAGCGCTTTACAGACCTGAAAGTGCTGGAAATACACTGGGGTCACCCTCTGCGTTGATAGGAAAAGGCGCATCTGTGAAGCACTCACCAGTGTCCTTGCCATGACCCTATAAGGCAGATGTGACTCCCAGTCCCCTGTACAGAGGAGGACACAGAGCCACAAGGGTGACGTTGCCCTAGGCAGAGCCGACTGCTCAGTAAGGGTGGGGGCGCCGAGCCTTCACCCGGCACCCTTCCCCCCTGCCCGGTCCAGCTCTGCTTCTGACCAAGTCTGTATGGTCTCCGCTGCTAGTCCTCCTGGCCAGATAGGAGTCCCTCCCGCCCCGCTGGGCTGAGCACAGGCAGCCAAGTCTTCCGGAAGGCCTGGGCGCCCAAGGGACCATGGTTGTCTTCTTCCCTCCCCCAGGAAGTACATCGTGTCCTGTAAACAGACAGAAATGCCCCTCTCTGTCCCCTGGGACCCTAGCAACCAGGTAAGGCTTTCTGCTCTGATTGGGCAGTCCTCAGGCCCATGCTGGGGGCGGGGGGACCCTGACTCTCCCTCCTCGTCAGAGTGGCTTTGGAAGTAGTCCGGAAGGGGACAGGGTAGCATGTCATGCCTCAGGACTGGTGCGGTTAGCAAAGGGCTTTCCCTTGTCCCTCTGTTTGGCTGAGGGAGCTGAGGCCCTGAGAAGGCAGTCGCTCAGGGAGTCTGCCCCAGGCCGGGCTTCCTGCCCCAGGGCCTGGCACCCACCCACCTTCAGTCCAGCACAGTCTCGGCCCAGAGCCCCCCAAGGACGGAGACAACATGAGGCTTCTCTGTGTGCCCCGTGCAGGTGTACCTGAGCTACAACAATGTCTCCTCCCTGAAGATGCTCGTGGCCAAGGACAACTGGGTGCTGTCATCGGAGATCAACCAGGTAGCTGAGCCCCCCACACCCCGCAGAGGCGGCTGATGGCAAGCAATAGAAATTCCCTCAAACCACTCATGTCCGAAGGGGGTTTCTTAAAGGAATTGGATGAGACCATGAAGCCAGCCCGGTTCTAGAAACAGTGCTGCTCCCACAGCACCTGGAGTGGAGAACGCACACCTCTTCCTCTCCTGCCCACCAGCCATCTTGCCCCCATGTCTCATCTCTGCTGCTCTCCGCCCGGCTGCTTCCTTCCTCTCTCTGCTCCTTCTTCCCTGTAGTGATAGGGACAGTGGACAAGCATGGGTTGAGGAAGCCATGAGCTTTGCCTGTGCCCTGGAGAGAGTCACTCCCCCACCTGTGACATTAGGGGGTTCAATGGGTGCGTGGCTTTTAGGGTCCATTCCACTGTTGCCTCAGTCTGTTTCTTAAATACCCTCCTGTCTACCAAGATTAAATACCCTCCTGGATTCTCTCAACAGCCCGTTTTCATTGGGACGGGCCTGAGGTTCAGAGAGGTTGAGTCACTCTTTGACAGTCACACAGCAAGTCAGCGGCAGCCCTGAGCTTCCAGCCCCGGCCTCCGGCATCGGAGCCAGCCCACTCCACCACCTGGCGTAGGCTGGGGCAGGTGTGCAGGAACGAGCCGCCCTCTGTCCCACGCAGGTCCGCCTGTACACCCTGGAGGATGACAAATTCCTGTCCTTCCACATGGAGATGTTGGTGCAGGTGGAAACAACCCAGGCCTTCATGCTGCTCTCAGACCTGCTTCGGAGGCCCGAGTGGGACAAGCACTACCGGTGAGGGCCATGGTGCCAGTGGGGCAGGGGCCTTTTCTCAGGCCTGGAAGGGCAGCTGGGCCTTCAGGTGTGTCCCCTGTTGAGCCATCCCCCCATTATGCTTGGCCCCTGCTGGGCATGGGGGGAGGGGGTGCGCAGGGTCGGGGGATTACAGTTATACGCTGGGTGGGTGTCAGAGTCAAGGGCATTCTGAGCCCTCAGGGAAGGGATGGAGCCTGGAATTGGAGTTGGAGGCCTGGGTTTAAATCCTGCTTCTGGATCAACCTGCTGTGTGACCTCAGGCAAGTCACTTCCTTTCTAGGCCTCAGTTTCCCCCTTCTTAAAATGGGTACTTGATGTGTAGGTCATGCATTTGCACTCTGGATAGATCAGTGATTTTCAAACTGTGTTCTGTGGAGTTCTGAGTCCCCGAAGGAGGCTCAGGGACCACTTGGGGTGGAGGTTAGAACACTGAGGGAACAGGAGAGGCCCCTCCCAGACTCAGGGTAACGAATGGAATGGCCAATTTGACGAAGCCACCCACTTTGCCAGTTCTTCTTATGGGTACGTGCGTGCATATGTTATTTTTGACTGTAGTGAGTTGCTGAATATAAATGTTATTCCTATGAATACATTTGTTCCCTGAATTTACTGATTCTTCACACGAATATTTTCTTCCTGAATTTAACCAAGAAAGAGAAATCTGTTCTTAGGAAAATAGCCAACATTTCAGTGTTTAATAGGAGAATGTTAAAGTTGAAACTGGTATTTTTTCAAATGCTTTTAAAGTCCCTTTCTGTTGTGCCAACACCTTTCTTTGGGGAGTTCTTTGATCACTTCTCCAATTGGCAGCTTACGAGGCGCCTGCACCCCTGCGTATCCATAAGGAGGGTCTGTGCGTGTGGACATTCAGTGAGCAGGTTGTCTGGCAAACTGGTTTTTGACACATTGCCTTCCCCTTCCCACCCCCATCTAACTCACCAGCGTGGGCCTCCTCATGGCTGTTTCTACACAGGCTTTCTGTTTAAGGTTTCGGTGCAAAAAAGGCTGTTGTTTTTAAAAAAAGCTCTGGTCTAGGTGACCCCAGGCCTGTTGGCAGTGACATTCTGCAGAACTGGGAGGTGATTTGGTGATGGATATGGGGGTGTTGGGCCTATGGTAGGAAGGCTTCTTGGAGGAGGCAGGCTGGTGTGGTCAGATCTTGACACTTGGTGGGATTGGTGAAGGGAGTGTCCCAAGGGGAAAGGGAGCCCCTAGCTGCTTCCCCCCAATCCTGCCAACAGCACCCTGTTCGTAAGGCAGCCTCTGAGGGTGGTTGGGAGAGCAGGGGAGGAAGTGGCGGGTTGGGAAATGGTCGTGCGTGTTTCTGTGTGGATGTCCTTGTGTGTGTGCACATGTATTGGTGTAAGCCTCAGCGTGTATACTGGGCCACATATGTGCAGCATGCCTGGGCCCGAGGGGCAGAACTCTGGCACCTGTGAGTCCCAGCACATCCCAGCCTTAATGGCTTTGTGGCCATGAGCAGGTTATTTTCTGAGTCAGCCCATTACGTAGGGGAATGCCGAGAGCACTTACGGCCTGGGCCGCTGTGGGGTTCAAGGAGACAGTGCATGGAAAGCTCTCAGAGCAGCTCCTGGCACGTGGCGGGTGCTCATAACCACTAAACTGCTGCACATTGGCGTGGGGCGTGTATGCCTGCAGGCATGTGTGTGCACTGGTGGGTGTCTGTGCTTGTGCATACACGCACAGGTGTGATGTCTGTGCATGTCTTTATTCCCATGTCTGTATGTGTGCGTATTAGCCTGTGTACGCGTCTCTGTGAGCTCCTGTGTGTGTGTGTGTGTGTTTGTGTGCATCTTGTGTGTGTGTGTGTGTGTGCATCTTGGCCTAGCCTTTCTGTCCCTCTGTGGTCCCTGCTGAGCAATGCAGGTTGTTAAGTGCCCCCCAGACATTCGCTCAAGAAGTCTGCAGCATGGGAAAGCCTGGGCCCGTGTGACCTTGAACCCTGACCTCTGGGCCTCCCTACAGGAGCGTGCAGCTGGTGCAGCAGGTGGATGAGGACGACGCCATCTACCATGTCATCAGCCCTGCCCTTGGTGGTGACGCCAAGCCCCAGGACTTCGTGATCCTGGCCTCTCGGAGGAAGCCTTGCGATAATGGGTGGGTACCCATTACTGAGGTAGGATGCAGGCAGGGCTCACCCCCCACCCCCCACTCCAGAGGGGGTGTCAGCTTAGACTCAGAGCTCCGCTTTCTGCCTGCTGGGGGCGTCGGGCACCACTCGGCTTTTCTAGCTGCTGCGGCCTTCTATGGGTAGAGTGGAGGACGAGGTTACACATCTCCCCTCTGGCCCCTTGTGCTCTAAGGCAGGGTGGTCCTTGTCCCCGGCTGGTGAAGCTTCTTCACCCAGGGCACAGACGGGCCCCTAGGACAGGCCCCTAGCTCACGTGGCCGCCTCCCTGGCCTCACCCCCTGAAGGCACCACGTGGGCTGAGAAGTGGGAAGGCTGCCAGTGCGAAAGGACAGCCGGAGACAGGTGCAGAGAAATGAAGCACGAACCCCAAAGCATGTGACTCCCTTGAGTTTCTGTAGCGGAGGGGCTTTTCCAGAAGCTCTGCAGTGAAGCCAGGCTGGCTCCGGGCAGATCCAGGGCTGCTGCCCCTCAGGCGCCTTCTCTCTGAGGCCTGGCCCAGAGCTAGGCCTTGGGCCTGTAAGAGTTTATGCGCCTTAGACTCTGGTGAAAATGTGAGTCGGGGGGGCCCTAGAGCCTGAGCAGGCCTCACCTTCTCCTGTTCCCTCTGCCCTTTCTCGGCTCCAGGGACCCCTATGTCGTTGCGCTGAGGTCAGTAACGCTCCCCACACATCCCGAGACACCAACATACAGGCGCGGGGAGACCGTCTGCTCAGGCTTCTGCTTCTGGCGAGAGGGGGACCAGCTGACCAAGGTGAGGCCCGGTGTCCCCGCCCCCAACCATCCCCCTCAAAGCCACACACACATCCAGAGCTCAGTGCTCAGGGCTCAGTCAGTCCTATACCCGGGCCCCACCCATCTGCAGCCTGTCTGCTGGCTTGGGGCAGCCTAAGAGGGTCAGGGGCTAAAAACAAGCCTTCACTGAGATCTAATCTGAGAGAGAAAAGACTCCAGGGTCTTGGAGAAAGCTCTGGATGCTGAGGGCCGAGGCCTGGGTTCTGTTCTAAAATTCATCTCATTATTTATTTACTTCTATACCTCTCTCGTCTGGGAAGGTTTTATATGGCTCTCAGGGCCCATAAAACTCATCAGGGCAGCCAGTGCTAATTGAAAATGTTGGGGAGGAGGCTAAAAGCAAGCAAGGGGGTGGGTATCACAGCTCTGCATCCTCGGGGCACCTCTGCTTCAGGCCCCCAAGACCCGTCCAGGTAGGGACTGGGTTGGTGTCTGCTGACTTAATACACTTGACCTGATGAGCTTCTCAGCACGATCCCTGGGCTTATTTCTAACTTGTTTCTATGGCCCTAGAATACCGCCATTTATCGGTGCCGGGCTCTGGAGACCCAGTCCCTGTCCTCCAGAACCTCCCCAACCTGATAGAGGCATGTGACGGTACCGTGTTTTTCAGTCCCCAGAAGAGAGGTCAGGAAAGCCTGCTGGAGGAGGTCACACCAGTCATCTTCTAGACCCTTGTACTTGCTGCCTTTCCTGCCCACCTCGTGCCCACCCGTCTCTCTCCCTGCCCTGCCCCCCGCCCCGCCTCCCTGAATGTGGCTTCCTGTCCTGCAGGTGTCCTACTACAACCAGGCGACTCCAGGCTTTCTCAACTACGTGACCACCAACGTGGCTGGTCTCTCTTCTGAGTTCTATACCACCTTCAAGGCTTGCGAGCAGTTCCTCTTGGACAACAGGAACGATCTGGCCCCCAGCCTCCAGACCCTCTAGGCACCCTCAGTGGCCACCCCCTGCCCACTCTCCCCCCACCCCGCCATCTGGTCCCCAGGGATACATGTGCAGTGCACCAAGGAAGGCAGGGGCATTTATTCCTTTCCGCCTCCCCCGTGGGAAGCCTTAACTCAGATGTCCACCTGCCCAGTGCCACCGGGCGCTCAGTTCCTGCCAACATCCTCCAGCAAGGCTTCGCGGAAGCTGTGGGGCAGTCTGTAGTAGCTCCGGGTCTTGTCCACGGCCCTGGCTGCCAGCAGCGCCGCCCGCACGGATGCATAGCTGTCCCCCAACGGGCCGTGCGCCACCGTGACCGTGGCCCTAGGGGAGGCGGCCAGCAGTCTGGCCACAACGCCGGTCGTGTTTTGGCCCAGCAGCCCAGCCCGCAGCTGGAAGGACACGGGTTGCCAGAGGCCCCGGCACAGCTCCAGCATATCTTCAAGCAGCTGTTCGCTGTAGCCGCTGCCCAGCTTCTCCTCAGGCCAACCTGGTGCCACCGTCACGTGGGGGAAAATCTCAGCCACAGCTGTAAGCAACTCCTTGCCGGCCAGGTGACCCGGCACCGCAAAACTGCCATGGGAGACTGTGGCCCCGATCCACACGGGCCGAGGCAGCTGGCCGAGGGCGGAGAGGTGGGCCAGCGTGGCCAGGGAGGGCCGGAGGGCAGAGGGCTCTGCTATGTGCAGATGGACACCCCAGTGGCCAGGACACCCAGCGAGCTGCTGCAGGCAGGACTCCAGCGTCAGGGCGGGAGCTCCTGGGACGTGTACGATGGGCACCGGGTCCTTGGCCACAGGCTCCTGAAGGCTAACGTTCAGCAGGATCATGGCTTCTCTGTCTGGAAAAGGCAATGCAGGCAGTCGTGTCAGGAGTTTGGGTTATGGTGGGGTGTCAGGGGGTGACAGAGGCCCTGCTGAACGGGGTGGGAAAGGAGAAGCTGGCTCTCCATCTGCTGAGATTTGTTGGTTGGTCCAGGCTCTAGGAGGAAGGGTTGCTTTGTAAATGTGCCCGGGGCGCATGAGAATGACATGATCAGCTGCTAACTCAGCTCTTGGCCTTTGACTGGGGCTCAGCCCTGGGGCCTGGGCTGGCTTCTCCTGCATCAGATATAGCTCAGGGCTCAAGGGCACTGAAGGCTAGGAATCCTGTGCTCTTGATATCATTGTACTCCACCACCAGGGCAGCCAGCACGTTGCCATGGTACCAGAGACCCTATGTTCCTACCCCAAGCAAAGGAACCCCCCCACCCTGCCCCAGTTTATCTAGGAGCACAGAGCTAAAGGCAGACCTTACCTGGGAGGCTAACTGTTGCTGCTCTTCCGTTGCCCTGGATGTCAGGAACCAGCCACTCCACGCTCAGGCCGTCCCCCCCAGGGGACTGGAGAAGTGGGATCAGGCTGCCTCCCGTGTAGTAAATCTGCTTCCGTGTGGCATTTGCTGTGGGGCCCAAATTTCAAGATGAAGTGGCCACCACTCACAGAGTGCCTTCTGTGCACCCTGTGTCTGCATACGTTCTAAGCCTCACAGCAACCCCCCAGGCTTGCTCACTCCAATGGACTCCATTGGAGATTATAAGATTATTGGACCTTGTGGCCCAAGGTCCCGCAGCCAACGAGCAGATTGCTGGGGTTGGAACCCCATGGAGCCATGTGTGCCTGGCCCCCAAGCTGGAGCTCCCCCTCCCGTCACCTAGATGGCACCTGTGCAGGAATGTTGAGTCTGATGGGTTCCCTTGGGGATGGCTTAACTGCAGGCCCTCCTAGGTTCAGGGTCAAGGGAGTGAAGGGTTTGGACAAGGGAACGGTAGCATCTGGGTCACTGATTAGTGGGTACAGTGGGGTGGGGCAGTCTCTGAGGAACTATGCTGTAAGGGAAAAGTACCTGGGGTTTGGGATTTGCTGGGTTCCAGTCTAAGCTGTGCTATGCACAGGCAAATGACTGTGTAGATTACTTAACTGCCCTGCACATCAGTTTCTCCATCTATAAAACAGAATCACGGCTCCCTGGATAGGAGGCTTGCATAGCAAACCATACTGAGGTCTGGCACACAATAGGTGCTTAAAAGGATTCCTTGACCCAGTTAGACCCAGGATTTTCCCCTTCCGATGCCTCACCCCCTCCAGCTCTGCCTCGTTGTCCACCAAATGCTGCTCTGTGCAGAATCCAGGCCCACCCCCTTCCCGCCTGCCCACACCCCTCCCTACCAGCCAGCTGCTTGAACTGCGACAGGACAGGTTCGAAGAGATCATAGTAGATTTGGTGAGAGGCACTGTTGTCTCGGACATAGAGGAGATCGTCCACCGACACGGGGTCCAAGGCGCCCTGCCACAGCGTCAGGCTGTACCTGGAGCCCAGAGAGCCAGCTCAGTACCTGCCTGGGCCCAGCAGGGTCCTCAGCCCCACCCCTGTGCTCAGAACTGGACCCTAGGCGAGGCAGGAATAGAGCATGTGACCTCCAGCTTCCCACCAGCCCCTTCTCCCTGAGAAGGACCTGCTTCTCAGGGGCAGAAAAAGCCACAGGGGCCTTCAGGAATGAAGAGTGACAGCAGAGGCTGAGAAGGATGGCGCGGACGGCTTGCCCTGCCTCCTCACTCAGAATTTCTGTTCCTGGTCTTAGGAAATGAACAAGGACAGAAAGGCATGGATACAGGGCAGCGAGGGAGAGTTAGGTGTGGAGGGGGGAGGCGACAGCCTTGGGACTCCCACGGGAAGTAGCTGAGGAAGTGGGGCTGGGCAGCTAGGAACAGACTGCAGGAGTGCACATGGGGAGTCCCTTAACTCCTGCAGGACGATCCTGGGCAGAGGTTGAAGGTGCAGGCTGTGTGGGCCCGGGGCACCCCTGGCTCCCATGGGCAGAAGACTTTCCATCAGGTGGATGTTATCTACCAATGGACTAGCTGCCTCAAGTGGTAGTGAGCAGCCTGTCACCAGAGGTATACAAGCAGAAATCAGGGAGGTAGTAGGGGATTTGAGCACCAGCGGATATTAGACAAGTATGTTTAAGCGTCTGGAGGCATCCGTGCCTGGGGGTGGGTTTGGTGGCTCAGGGGCTAAGGCCTGGGAGTTTTCACCTCTGGGATTGGCCCAGCAGCCAGCTGAAGTGGGGCCAGGCAGCCCGCACCATGACAGCCCGCACAGGGAAGGTGACCTTCTGTGGCAGTGCTCCCACCAGCCCCTGCATCTTCTCCACCATGGCTCGGGTGTACGTTCTGTTCGGGAACAGGGGCACATAGAGGGTGGTCCAGCCCGGAGACAGGGTGGCCTCAGGATAGTTCTCCTGGACCAAGGCCAGGAACCTGCAGAGAAATCAGAGACACAGGTCTTTGAGAGCCTTGCTGGCCCCTTCCCCATCTCCTGGGATCCCATCACCGTGCTACGAAATGGCAAGGCCTGGTGAATATAGACTATAAGGACAGGAGCAGAGTCCTAAAGAACAGAAGTGACATATTTACGTCCTATAAATAAGGCATGGACTTTGGAGTCAGGGCGGTCTAGGTTTAGGTCCCGACTCTGTAACCTTGTGCAGCTCATTCGACATCTTTGATTTCAAAGGTGGCGTCCCTTCTGGTAGGGCAGGGGATGCAAGCCAGGGCCCCTGGATGTGGGGATTTGGACTCTGCCAACTGTGAGTCTCCAAAGCTTCAGATTTTATTTTTAAATTTCATTTAAATTTTGCCCTGATAGAAATTTTAATAGAGAAACAATGTTACCCCGTCCTTTCCCCAACCTATTGAGTAACATCAACACTCCAAACAGCCATATTTCTCTTGGGGCCACTGACTGCATTTTCCCAACTGCTGCTTTCCAAATGGACCTCAAATGAATACAGGATGGATGGGTTGTTGGCCGGCTGGCTGGACAGATGGAGAGATGGATGTTAGAATCAGAAAGGCCTGGCTTTGGACCTTTGTTTTGCAATGATGAGAGTTAGGCCAGTAGTATAACTTCAATGAGATCATTCTTCTGTTCATAAAGTGAAAATAATAGTACCTACCTCATTCTCTTGATAACACAAGTACCTTTTGAAACAGTGACTAGGCACATAATAAACATTCAATAAATTGAGCCTTGATTACTGGTCAGCTTTCTTTTCTGCAGAATGGGAGGAGATAGTCCTAACCTGGTGTTGCTAGGTCAAGGTCAGATTGGACACACTGCCAGGATTTCAGGGGGGCTTGGGAAGGGGTTAGCACTTTTAGGCTTTTTTCTAGCAGGCCAAGAACTGCCTTGGTCATTGGGGATACAGAAAGGACTGGGCCCCATCTGCCCGCCAGGAATCCAGTGTAGTAGGGGTACAAACCTGTCATCTGGCAGTGACAGCCCAATGAAATCACGGCTGTGTTAGGAGGCAAGTGTGGATGAAGGTTCTCAGCAGCCTGGGATGTCAGGATAGTTTTTGGAGGAGGTAATGACTAGGCAAAGCTTCATCAGGGAATGGGGGAAAGGCATTCAAGGCAGAGGGAACAGCATGTGCAAAGACTCAGAGGTCAGATGACAGGGTGCATCTGGAGGTAAACTCAATAAAAGGGCCCTGAGCACCTTCTGTGCCAGATGTTGGAGGAAGAGGGCCAGACGCAGCTGGGACAGAGAGGCGAACACTCACTGTGTGGCGTTGACCTCAATTGAGATGGGCACATTGGGGCCCCTCAGGATGTCCGCATTGATCCACACAGGTCTTCTGACTCTCCCATCCTCTGTGAGCTGCCGCAGGAGGGCCAGGGAGGGGCCCACAGCCTTGAGGCTCTTGAAGTCCAGTTTGATGCCTGTGGGGGAGGGGGCCAAGAACTTGGGGAAATGGCCTTTCTCAGGGCAGGAGGCACCAGCAGACTTGACTTCCTAGAGCGGTGAGCAGGTATGGTGTGTGTGTTTTTGGGGCTGGGAGGGGAAGAGGAGGGAAGCCAGACACCAGATTCCTGCTGGGTGAGAAGAGGGCTTTCAAAGAGGCAGAGCTAACCCACAGAGGAAGGACCTGCCTCTACTGGAATGAGCTTCTGCCCCCACCCCCAGGGGAGTGGGGAGGCTAAGGGCTTGGACTTGGGCTGGTGTGGGGGTCGTCAAGCATCTGATGAAAAGAGACCACGGTTCTTGGAAAGGGCAGGCTTAGAGGCTCCTAAGCCGCCTAAGCCTGTGTGGAGGTCACTCAGCCTGCAGGGAGGCATGTTTGAGTGGAGGAGGGCTATCAAGGTAGAGGAAGGGCCCCCGTGAACAAAGCCCTGTCCATTCAGGCAGCCAGGGGCTGGTGATGAAGAGAGCTGCAGGGGCGAGGCTGGGGACTGGGAGAGGGGTGTTGAAAGCCAGGCCAAGGCGATGACACTTTGTTCGAGGACAGTGGGGAACCATGCAGGGCTAAAGAGGGGGGTGCCATGACAAAACTGGCATTTTGGGAATCTCACGCAGATGTGCCTGGTGGCTGTGGTGGAGGGAAGACCAGAGTGGCTGAGTTTGGGGTCGGCACGTGGTGAAGGGGTGAAGGACATGGGGGGAGGCGTGAGGGGGACATCTTGATGCCTAGATTCAGATGGAAATTGGCAAAGGGACCTGGGAGGGAAGGGCAGAGCTGGGCTTTGAACAGGCCATCCCCAGTGTGGAGGATTCGGGAGGGAACAGCCTGAACACATTGGCACTTTCCCACCCCCCACCTCACTTGGAATTCCCTGGGTCACTGGAACAGGCCCCCTCCCCTCCCGCCCCGAAAGCTCAGACAATGAGCCATGAGACTGGGACCGGCCTGGCTCCCAGGGGAGCTGGAAAGGGGCTGAGAGAGTCCTCACCCTTCTGTGAAGAAGCCAGCACAGCCTCTAGCCACTGCTGCAGGGTGTTATCGCTGTAGATGGCTGGGGGGTGTGCCATGATGGGGACTCCTGTCTCATTGACCGTGTTGAGTCCTTCTACAGTGACATCTGCCTCCAGGACCATGGCGCTGCCTGGGCAAGAAGCATACAACTCAATCAGTTCCTTTAAAACCCTTTTTGCCTCATCACCAAAGTATTATACATGTATCAAAGAACATTTGGGAAGTACAGAAAAGCAGGAAAAAAGCAATTCCTCTACATTTCCATCATGGTTCATGTTTTGATTTATTTTCTTCTATGTTTGTTTACTTATGGTTTTTACACAATTGAGACCACACTACATTCATAATTTTTTAATCTTTTTCTTTCAGTATGATGACATCTTCACAATCCTCTATGTCTTATTAAAAAAGAAAAAAGGCTACAAAGACTCTGGTTGAGGTTGCTCACCATGATTTAGTTAACCACCTCTATTCCTGAGATATTTTGGTAGTTTTTAATTTTTTGCTAACAAGTGATACATATTTTTATCCTGCTTTTTGAATTATTTCAAATACCTACTTGTGGAATTGAGTTAGGGCCATGAAGGGTCTTTTTTTTAAAAAATTATTTTTATTTATTTCTAGGAGAGAGAGAGAGAGAGAGACAGCGTGAGCAGGGGAGGGTCAGAGAGAGAGGGAGATACAGACTCTGAAATAGACCCAGGCTCTGAGCTGGCCGTCAGCACAGAGCCCGACGTGGGGCTCGAACCCACGAACCGCGAGATCATGACCTAAGCGAAAGTCGGATGCTTAACCGACTAAGCCACCCAGGTGCCCCATGAAGGGTCATTTTTAAAGTCTATGTTATTGGAGGTGCCTGGGTGGCTCAGTCGGTTAAGCATCCAACTCTTGATTTTGGCTCAGGTCATAATCTCAAGGTTTGTGGGATTGAGCCCTGCATCGGGCTCTGTGCTGTCGGCGAGGAGCCTGCTTGGGATTCTCTCTCTCCCTCTCTCTCTGTCCCTGCCCAACTCATGCTCTCTCTCAAAAAGCAAACAAGTAAACATTAAAAAAAAAAAGTCCATATTATCAAGTCACTGTCTAGAAAAAGTGTTCTGATTCATATTCTCACCTGAAGCACATAAGCTTGCCCATCTCCCTGCACCCTTCCAGCACTGAGCATTGTTATTTTAATTTTTAAATTTCAATTTTTAAAACCCTGTCTTCTAGGGTTTGATCTAGGAGAGAGCTAAGGCCTTCCCCATGGGAGCAGACCTGGAAGACCCTGCCAGGGTCACTCTGCATTTGGGGTGCGCAGTGGAGGGAGGGAGGGGTCAAGTTCATCTCTGCACCATCACAGGCACTTGGCATCAGAAGGGGCCTTTTCTCCTGACCTCTCACCTCTAGCCTGGTTCCCCTTAAAGTCCATTCTCTACACATAGCAACTAGAGTGAGTTTTCTAAACGCATACCTGATCCTGTCACTTCCTATAAAAACAACCAAACAGCTGGGCGCCTGGGTGGCTTAGTCGGTTAAGCGTCCGACTTTCGCTTAGGTCATGATCTCGCGGTTCGTGGGTTCGAGCCCCGCGTCAGGCTCTGTGCTGACTGCCAGCTTGGAGCCTGGAGCCTGTTTCAGTCTGTGACTCCCTCTCTCTCTGACCCTCCCCTGCTCACGCTGTCTCTCTCTCTCTCCTAGAAATAAATAAAAAAATATTAAAAAACAAACAAACAAAAAAACCAACCAAACAGCCCCACCCATTGCCCTTGGAATCAAATCTAAACTCCTTACCATAGCCCTTGTGGTCCTGCATGGCCAGGCTTAGGCCCTGACAAAATTTCCAATCTCACCTTGAGTCCCCCTCTCCCCTGATCTCTAGGTTCCGGCCCCTCTAGCTTCTGCAACATTAATGTGTGCATGAAGCACTCAGAACTGTTAATATTCAAGTTGTGGGGGAGCCTGGGTGGCTCAGTCAGTTAGGCATCTGACTTTTGCTTTCAGCTCAGGTCTTGGTCCCACAGCGTGTGAGATGGAGCCCCGCATGGGGCTCTTCACAGACAGTGAGGATCATGCTTGGGATTCTCTCTCCGCCCCTCCCCTGCGTGTGTGCTCTCTCTCTCACAAAATTAAGAAATAAACATTTAAAAAATATATTTAAAAAATTCAAATTCTGATATCTAACCAGCTCCCTAGCCACGCCCGTGCCCTTGGTCCATGGACCTCACTTGGAATAGTGAGGCTTGAACTTGTGTCCGCCCTTCTCTGGCCTCTTACTCATGGTTGTCACCTTGGCAACACTCTTTCCTCTGCAGCTTTACTCAGCCACCTTCTGCTCCTGTTAGTGTTGGCTTAATATATCACTTCCCCAGGGAGGCTGTGCCTGAGCCCCATGCCCAGTCCGACTTAGTCACCTGCTTTTGTTCTACTCTTCTCTGTGCTTGGCCCCATGTAACTGCTCAATTAGCGTCAACCTTCCTCATTATAGGCACCAGGGAGGAGGGGCCAGGTCTGGATTGACCATTGCATGAATTTCCGGTGCCTAGATGGTATCAGGCCTCAAAAAAAAGGGCTTCAAAAATAGTTGTTGAATGATGAACAACTGAATGAATTAATGATAGAAAAGTCAAGATCAATAAGCCCAGGTCCAGAAAGGTAAAAGAAAACAGAAAACTTGAAAGAAAAGAAAACTTGGCCAAAGTTAAGACAACTTTTGCAGATTTCTCTACAATTTAGGTGCCTGGATTCCCAGGAGAGGAAGGTGAGTGCCATGCTGTCTGTAGCAGTCAGCTGGGGATTCCACATCATCCCATCTCATCCTATTATAGATCCTACTTCCAGAGTGTGGGACTCCCTGGGCTTGTCATTGGCAAGATGGGGATGAGCCTCCCCAGGCCATGAAAATAGGACGCGGATGTTCAAGCACATTGTCAAACTGTAAAGGGCTTGATGAAGGCAGCCTTCATTTTGATGACTTGAGCACAAATTTCTTTCTCATCTTAACTTTTGGTTAAGATGCAGAGAGTAGGGTGGGGGGTGGGAGGGACGGGAGGAGTGCACCTAGGTGGCTCAGTCGGTTAAGTGTCCTACTTTAGCTCAGATCTGACCTTGTGGTTTGTGAGCCATGTGTTGGGCTCGGTGCTATCAGCTGAGAGCCTCGAGCCTGCTTCAGATTCTGTGTTTCCCTCTCTCTCTGGCCCTCCCCTGCACACACTCTGTCTCTCTGTCTCTCTCTTTTTCAAAAACAAATAATCACTGGGGCACCTGGGTGGCTCAGTCGGTTAAGTGTCCGACTTCGGCTCAGGTCATGATCTCACAGTTTGTGGGTTTGAGCCCCGCATCGGGCTCTGTGCTGACATCCAGCTCAGAGCCTGGAGCCTGTTTTGGATTTTGTGTCTCCCTCTCTCTCTGACCCTCTCCTGTTCACACTGTCTCTCTCTCTCTCAGAAATAAATAAAACATTAAAAAAAAAACAAAAGCAAATAAGCATTTAAAAAAAAAAGATGAAGAGAGAGGGGTCCAAAAGGCTTGGGCCCCAGTGAGGCCCAGAGAAGCTAGGACGGAAGCAGGTGGGGGTGCAGGTGAGAGGTAGCTCATGAGAATGGATGTGCAGCTGTCTCCTTCCCCAGCCAGTGGGGGCCAGCTCCAGTCTGGGGGAGACAGGGTGCATCAAGAGCCATCTCTGAGCCCCAGTGACCTTCTGATGCTGCCGCCTGGCTTGATTCGCACTAGCTGCCTCCCTTAAGGCACTGTGAGCCCTGTGGAGACAAGGTCACATCTTACTCATTTCTCAACCTTCCTCTTGAGATTGACCCAGAGCAAGGGCTCAGCACACACTCAGTGAGTTGGACTGAAGGCCCGCAGAAAGTGCATTCTGGACCTGACCTGCCTCTTTGCGATTGCCACCTAGACCCAGCTTTCTCAAAACAGTCCTCTCTTGTCAGGAAAAGTGGTTACTTGCCTTCTAGATGCGGAATCTGGAGGCTGACGTGTTTGGGTGGGGTGTGAGGCAGGAACAAGTGAGGAGGGAAAGAGGGCTGTCTCCTGAGGGGACAGGAAGAGGTTATGGAGGCCTCCCCCGTCCCACCCCACACGCCAGGACCTTTACCCGTCACAGCCAGGTGGGACATCACCCTGGCCCATGGGCAGGCTCTGAACCGATGACTACCTACTGGCCCCAGCGCTCCTGTTTGCAATCTGTTACCTCGGACAGGTTACTTGACCTCTCTGGGCCTCCTTTTCCTCATTTACAAGAATTATTTAATTAAGATATCCCTGGTTAGGCATTCACTAAGTGTTAATCATTATTTACATGGAGGAACTCACTTAACTAGAGTGACCACGCCTCCCCTTTTGCCTGGGAGAGTCTAGTGTATTTCTAGTGTCTCTGCATAATTCTTTTAAGTTTGTTTTTATTATTTATTTTGAGAGAGAGGAGCGAGAGAGCACGTGCACAATTGGGGGGGAGGGGCAGAGAAGAGAGACAGACCCCCAAGTGGCTCCGCGTCATTAGTGCAGAGCCTGACGCAGGGCTCAAACTCACAAACCGTGAGATCATGACCTGAGCTGAGGTCAAGAGTCAGACGCTTAACTGACTGCGCCGCCCACGCACCCCTGTTGGTGCCACATAATTTTCAGTGATGATTTCTCTCACTATCGCAAGTGCCCTGGTTTGGATGATAAATGATACGGAAATCCTACCAATCCATATTCTGCAGAGGGAACAACCGAAGGGCAGACAGGGGAAGTCACCTGTCCGGAACCACTCTGCCAGTAGAGAGAGGGCCAAGGTAAGGTTTGAACCTGGCTGTGTCTGCCTCCCAGATCTTGGCTCTGGCCCCTCCTCTCCGCATGGAAGTCAGTTCATGTCCAAGATTTCCCCAGCCTAACCTTGCCCCTGGGTCCCACCCAGGGTCCCCACCCCAGTTGTGGCACCACCCTTCTCCTAGAAGCCTATCCAGGGATCTGGCAGGACCCTCAGGGAGAACACTGGGCCCGGGGCTCTCTCCAGAGCCCTGATGCTGTGCTGGGGGGACCTCTCCATGGCCCTCGCAATTGACACTGCCTGGCTGGAGCCATTGGCTTCCTTCTTGGCCCAAGTCCTGGTACGGTGGGGGCAGATCGCTTGTCTGCTACCCCAGGGCCGCTGACTGCTTACCATAATCGGTCTGAATTGGAGACTCGGAGGCATTCCGTAGCTTGTTTTTGATAGCACTGGGCCTCAAACTCATCTACCTTGTGGCTTCCACAGGCTAGGCAGGGACAGCTGTCGCTGCCAGGTTGTGGAAGGGACAGCAGGACGGAGGTCAGGACATGGTGACTTTGGAATCAGACATCTGGTTCTAACCATAGTGCTGCCTCATAGGTAGCGCTGTCTCACCCCCACCTCCGCTCTTCCCCCATCTCCTCCACCCCTGCCCTGGCCTGTCCCCGTCCTGGCATCCAGACTTACTGCTTAGAGCAGCCTCCATCTCCTTCTGGCTGTTGGCAGCGTGGTACCAGGTGACCAGCAGGCCATCTCGGTGGCTGATGTGGCCCAGGCTCTGAAGGTAGTCCAGCATGTCTGCGTCGGGGCGGCAGACCGCCTCCTGCTCACAGCCTGGAATGGAGCCCAAGGGGGCTGTTAGCATCAGTTCTCGCCTCTGCTTAAGACTCCTGTCCATTCATCCCACTGACCCTCCCTGGGCTCCCAGCGTGTGTCCAGCTCTCCATCTGGCAGACAGACAGGGGGACTTGGAGCCCTCAGGGCTCCGCGCATGTGAAATATGTGGGCTCCTGGGCACAAGGAGACCCCAGGCCAGCCTAGGCAGTCAGGACATTTACAGAGGAGGGGACATGCAAGGGGGCCCTGAGGACTGGTGCGAATGTGATAGAAAAGGCGGACTGGGTTATTCCTGATGGGGAGAACGGTACAAGCAAAGGCTGGGCCGAAGGAAAGAGGGTGGTCACCTAGAGGAACAGCCACTGGTGTGGTACAAATGGCAGTAGGGACATGGAGCGGGCAGGATTGCAAAGGGCATCGTGATCAGGTTGTAAATGGCCTTGAATGCCAGCAAAGTGTCTGTCTGTGTGCTGAGGGCAGCGAGGGGTGCTTGTATTTAGCAAGATCTCACGGGCTACGGAGTGAGCCCTGGCTGGAGACAGCAGGCTGCAGACAGAGACCGGGTGGCAGAGAAGCCAAAGCAGGGGTCAAGGACACTGGAGGCCTGGGTGCTCAGCTGGCAGGGAAGGTAGAAGGTAGGAAGGCAGAAGCCTCAAGACATTGAGGCTACAGACATGAGCAGAAGGGAGAGTGGAGGCTGTCCTCCCCGTTTCCGCGGGAAGGGAAGGGCCCTTCACCGAGGGAAGCAGGCATGGGGGAGATATGAGCTGAGCTCAGTCTGCTGCGTCCAAGATGCCCCCGTCATCTTCAAAAAGGCCCCCCATTCAGGCCCAAGATCTGGGCTGAAGGCAAGTGAAGCCTGGTGGAGGAAGAGGGGAAGATTGACGTGGCCTTCCTCTGGGGACAGAGTCTCTGTGGGGACGTGGGATGGGACACGAGGCTTTCAGAGCAGCCCCTACCTGGCTGGGTGCGCTGCTGCAGCACGAAGCTCAGGATCAACCCAAAGGCGAAAACCAGAACCACACTGGCACTGCCAATGAGGACCCACTTGGTCCGGCTGCCGGAGCATTGCTTCTTGCAGGCCATGATCTTCTCTGTGGAGTGTCTCCCAGCTCCTCAGGCCCAGGGACCCCGGAGGCTCCCTGTAGCTAGGATCCCAGGGGAAGCCGGAGCCCCATGTGGCATCCAGCCCTGTCAGGAATGTCTTTGTGCAGAGACAGCCCCTGAGGCTCCTCCTCCCTCCCCACCCTCCTCCTCTTTCCACACCCTCCCAGGATCTTAACAAATCAAGCAGAAAGTCCTAACACCTCCACAACAACCTTTGAGCATTTGGACCAAGCTCCCATGGCCTGCCTTTCTGTTCCTGCCTGGGAGCTGGGAAACTCCAGACTTGACCTTGCTTTCCTGGAGACCTGGAACAGGAGTGTTCCCCCCACCCCCGGACCTGGGGCTTCCCCTGTGCAAAAAAGTAGCAGCTGGATTGTTCTTTTCTTCTGCTGCCCTGCCCCTGGAAGTCACCAAGGTCAGGCAAGGGTTGATGACAAGGACAAATGAGATGTGCCTCGAGGCATATGAACTTTCCTTCCATCTCAGGTTGTGGTTGATAGATTATCTACCTGAGATTGAAGCCAATGGGTTTGGCATGCTGCCCTGGGTTACACAAGCCACTCCGGGGGCAGTGAGTCCATAGGGTAGGGGCTGAGTCACCACCTCACTCTGAGGGTGTCCTGGGAGCCCCGCTGTGTGAAGTAAGTTAGAGACTGTCCCCGCTTCAGGGACTCTGGCGTTTAAATGAGTCCAAGAATCACCTGTAAGGTTACAGGGACTTTGGTTTACAGAGGCTCACGGAGAAATCTATCAGGGTAACTGATAGACTGACTGATTCAAAAGTGCACGCACGTGTGTGTGTGCATGTTAAGACCATCTAGAATGATGAATGATGCCCAGGTGGGCAGATGGAGGGAGTCTGGGTGGTGGGGAGCAGGTCAGGAGGGAGTTTGGCTCAGATCTCGTGGAGTCACGGCGGCTGTGGGTCACTACCCAGGAGGACACTGGATATAGAAGCCTGGGGCTTGAGACCAAAGATGAAGGTGAGAGCATCGTTTCCTGCCCAACGGCAAAGAGAAAAGGGTCTTTCCAACCAGCATCCCGTGTGCTGCTCGTTATTCTTAGGAAAGATGCCAGTGAGCTGTGAACTTCCCTGCCTCTCTTGGCTCTGAGGTTTCTGCAGGCTGCACCTTGGAGGAAGAGGGACCTCGTCCAGCTGTGGCTCCTAGTAGGTGGAACCGCTCTGAAATGGACACTATGCTGCCAAGGACCGCCTCCTCCCCACCCCCCACCCCGGCCATGACACTTCTCCGCTCTGCGTGCAGCACTGTGCATAATATATTGTAGGAGAGAAGAAACCAAGGGGGTGTCAGGAGGCTCTAGCATCTCAGATGTGGAGTGGCCATTCTAGGGCTGGTGCTGAAGGAGGGGGTTCAAGCCTGTAAGGATGTCAGACCCGGCCAGTGCCATCGGCAGGGCCCCCAAGGGGAGCATGGTGGGTCAGGGAGATGCAGGAGATTTGGAGCACAGAGGAGGTGCCCCAGTCTCCTGGGCAGGGCAGGTGGCCTTCAGAAGAGGCATGGCCTGAGCTGACCTGGAGAAGCATGGGGACAGGGCCTACAGAAGGATGTTCCTGACAAAGGCAGTGGTGTGTGGGGCAGTGTGCAAAGTCGTGTGGGAGAGGGCTTGCTTGGGGACGTGGGCAGGACAATGTGACTGGATCAGCAGGTGGGAGTGGGGGTGCTCGGGGAGATAGGTCTAGGGGGTGAGAGGCCTGGGGCACCCTGACAAAGAGCTTGGCCCCAACCTGGACAGGGTGGGAAACCTTCACCTATGGGATAAGCAGGAGAGACCTGCTTAGCTTTGCATTTTGGAGGGTGATTTTGGAAGCTGCTATTGAGAAATGGGGAAGTTGGTATTGAGCTAGTTGGGGGAGTTCCAACCATGCCTAACACCTGGGCCGGCTGTTCTTAGCACCTCCTCCCCCAGTCACATGACTCACCCCCACCCCGTGCCACTCGGAAGGACAAAAGGCTCACTAAGGTTTGAACCTCAGGCTTTGTTACCTGGGTCACTTTATTATATTATGGACAAGAAGCAAGAGGGTGTTAGGAAGCAGCAACATTTCAGAAGGGGAGCCGCTGTCCCTAGAGCTGGTACAGCAGGGGGCTCCGCCCTGGGCCCTGAGACACCCCCTCCAGCTTTCCTGAGGCTGCAGCCCCCTCCTCCCCTCCCCCAGGGAAGCTCATCAGAATGTGGGGAAAAGCTTGAGTTCCCTCCCCTAGGAAGCAGGGCAGAGTGTGCCTGAATCCCGCTCATGAATGTTCAGCTCGCACTAGCTGGGGTCCGCTGAACCTTGGGGAGAGCAACGCACCCGCTGCTTCTGAGGCCTTTAGAATCCAGTTGCTGTGTTAAGGACCTGAGGACCAGGGAAAAGGCCCCTGGTCAAGACAAAGCTGACTCGGAAGCTTCCTGGGGAAGCCAGTGTTTGATCTTGACTTTAAAGGGTGGGTAGGATCTCTTAGAGACAAAATTAAAGCTTATTATTTCCCCCTTATAAAAGTGATAGAAGAAAGATATTGGAAAATTTGGAAACATGGAAGGAGGAAATTATTTTTATTTTAACACGAACAATGAGATCCACAGACCAGTTATAATTTGGTTTCATTTTGTTGAAGATCTTTCCAATCATTTCAATGCACACTTAGTATTTTTGCATTGTTTCGCCTGTTCAGTGGGTGTATTAGTTTTCTATTGCTGCTATAACAGCATGGGGCGGGGAGTGAGGCAAGAGAGGCCAGAGGAAGAATAAGACTCATTTCTGCGGCAAACACCTTCTTCTGCGAAGACCTTGGGTACCAGCTCTGGGCCAGGATTTGGGTAGCAGGCAAGCAAAGATGAAAAGACATCATCTCAGTCCTGAAAACATCCTCAGTATAATAAGGGAAATAAGGGAAGCAAGAGAAATAAGCAAGTGACTAGAAGTTTACAGCTTGCTGTCAGGTTTTGTGAGCTATTCTGCAAGAGCAGAGGAGAAAGCCTTCACCCAGCTGGGGGGAGGGCATCATGGAGGATGCCCTGGAGATCCTGGAGATGATGCCTATTGCATTTTGACAGACAGGTAGCGGTTATACAGGTGAAGTGGGGAGGAACTGTAACAGAAACAGTTGGGGCGCCTAGAAAAAGAAAGACAAACATAGCTTTCTTGACTTAAGAAAAGTCATTTTAGGCCCTTAGCCATCTTATGAAGGAATGTGAGAGTGAGCAGCCACCATCAGGTCAAGACCTGGGATCATCATATTCAGAAGTGAAGACGGATCTGATGCTCGTTCTGAGTTATCTCTGAAGGATCTAAACCCCTCTGAACACTGAGATACCAGACCCGCTGGGGCCAAAGAACCGATGATGCTGACCCCTGCAGGTCTCGAGATTTTGCCCTGGACTCAGTCGCCATCAGATGACCTTAGGCCCAATTCCATGCCATATTCCCCCTTACACAACCCCTTTCATGAACACGTATGCATCCTTAGCCGAAGGCCTCCCCGATTTTGTTGTTTGAGGAGACACTGCTTTGGGAAAGGTCCCCAGTGGCCTCCTTTCTTTGTTGCAGGTAAAACCCTTCCTTTTCCTATCCTTTGCCTTGGCTGCATCTTTTGGCTCAACACTGAGAGGGGAACCCAGTTTGGGGCAACAGAATGGGAGAGAAAGAAGACTCTAGAGGGAGGGAACATCATGAGAGAAGGCACAGAGGCAAGGACCATTACCGTGAGTTTGGAGATACCAGTGTGTTGCTAAAGCAGAAATTACGTAGGAGGAGATGGTGGGAGACGAGACCGGGGAGCAATCCAAGCAGTGTAATGAGCTAGACACACGGGTAGACAAACCTGCCATGAAAATAACTGAAATGCTGCATAAAATTGAATAATTTTTCAAGCGTATCTCTGAGCTGATGAAAAATGACACGTAAGCAGGAGCTCTGAGAGGTAAGCAACTGTCAAGGCTGACTTTTGTCCTGAAGAATTTGGCCAAACCCTGGTGGCCCTGAGTTTCCACTCTGATGGCTGTACAGATGGAGGTGACCAGCAATAAAGCCTAGGACCCCTCCAAAGTGGGGATTTTAGTAAGATCTGTGAAAATGGAATCCAAAGGCTGCACCCTTGGTATTGGAATCCAAAGGGTGCGCCCAAACTGTCAGGTTTTGGAATTGGCATTGGGTGGGTTAAAAAAATTCCTCTGGGGCATCTGGCTGGCTCAGTCTTCAGAGCATAGGACTCTTGATCTTGGGGTCATGAGTTCAAGTCCCACGTTGGGTGTGGAACCTACTTAAGAAAAATAAACTCCTCTGAAAATTATTAACCACAGGCTGTCCCTCACACTGGTCCTTGGTCCAAATTCAGACTGCCTAAGTGGTCCAAAAATTCTAAATGGTGGAATTTAGTTTAAGGTAGTCGGTGATACCCCAAGGCAAATAGCAGAAGAAAAAAAACAAGTCTTCTCGAGGGGAACATAGCTTCAACCAGGCATTCCCAGGCAAAGGGTCAAGGAAAATGAACAGCTCATGGTCTACAACCCCCAAAACTCATAAGAAACTGAGACTCCATGAGTGAAAATTGACAGAAAACCAAACAACAGAATCAGACCCACAAAGTCTTTAGAAGTCAAAACGACCAGACAAGGGATAAAATAATGTTGGAAGAAATTAAAACTAGCTTGAAAATATGGACAATAGTAGACAGTATAGAATGACCAAGCAGATATGAGAGGGAGCCAAACAGAAATTCCAGAAATGAAAAATACAATTAAAATTAAAAAAAAAAAACTTAATGGGAAGACTTAACATAGCTTAGACACAGTTGATTAGAGAATTAGATAAGATCTGTCCAGAAGTCAGCATAGAAGAATCAAAGAGATGGGAAGTATAAGAGATTAAGACAGAGAGAAAGGACTAGCATGCATGTAATCAGAGTTGTAGAAGAATCAAGGAAGAATAAGAGAAAGGCTATTGTTATTTGTGGAAAACCCTCCAAATGATTGAACAC